GCACCATTGAGGCACTGTTTGGCTAAGGTGCACAACTCGAGCACTATTTGACCGAGGTGCACCATTGAGGCACTTTTGGGTCAAGGTGCACCATTGAGGCACTGTTTAGTCGATATGCATAACTCGGGCACTATTTGACCGAGGTGCACCAATGAGGCACTGTTTGACCAAGGTGCACAACTCGAGCACTATTTGACCGAGGTGCACCATTGAGACATTGTTTGGCCAAGGTGCACAACTCGGGCACTGTTTGATCGAGATGCATCATTGAGGCACTTTTGGGTTGAGGTATACCATTGAGGTACTGTTCGACCGAGGTGCACCATTGAGGCACTGTTTGGCCGAGGTGCATTATTGAGGTATTTTTGGGCCGAGGTGCACAACTCGGGCATTGTTTGATCGAGTTGCACAACTCAGGTATTATTTGGTCGAGATGCACCATTGAGGCACTGTTTGGCCATGGTGCATAACTCGGGTACTTCAGAGCATTCGAAGTGTAGTGTAGGACCATCTGGGCCTGAAATAAAATGCAACGACATGCTTTGTTGGGTCGAAGCTACCGTCGTAAGACTCGAGCACAGGGAGGTAGAAGTTTTGCGTGGTCAAATTGTCCTGAATATCCTGCACAAATGAGGATCCTGCTAGGGGAGTCTCGTCGAGCTCTTCCTTAGATTTGTGAAACTCCTTTTGGACCATATCAAGACGTCGATTGACCGAGCGTAGCTAAGCCCAGAAAGAGTTCATCGAATTGGATGATAGTGTGTCGAGCTCAGGTAGGATCATCGGAGGTATGGAGTGTTGTGCTTGGGTGGCGGCCTTAGATTCCCTGATAGCTCTTCGAGCGATGGGGTAACGTCCGCCGTGATGGGCTGTTGAGGGGCCATCGGTGGTGCGAGGAGAAGAGCCGACGGATCTCATTGCAACGATTGAGGTAACGTTGACTATCGGGCAAGCTAAGGAACAATGGGGAAGATGGTATGCATCATTCTTGCCTGGGCTTGAACTTGATGCATGAGGCTAAAGAATGCCTCGGCAGAGATAGGAAGTTGTCCCATGGTGGCCCCGAGGGGTGACAACTTGGGGTCAATGAACAGTCACCAATAACAGCTCAAGGTTGCAGTGGGGGCGTTTTCTTCTAGGCTCGGAGGAGGTGGGAGTCGCCCTCCGAATCTGAAGGTTGAGTGTGTTGGGAGTGGCTCCTCTCCAAGGTGTTCACTTGGATTGCTTGGCTGGGGATGATCTTACTGCATCGGGGCCCTCCTTCTAGTGCCAAAATGTTAGTGAACCTTTACTTCGTGGCTGAGTGTCAGCACGGCTCAGTCCGGTCGTGGATGCGCAAAGTCGCCAACGTGGATGCTCGGGTGGTGAGGGTGAGTGTCGAGTTAGGTCGGGTTCGAGACTCATCTCCCTAGCGCTGTCTTCTCTCTTGGCGAGTGACCTGTTTCTTCGTCGCTGAGCTACTGCACACAAGTCAAGGTCGGGAGGGGGATTTCTCGACTCGACCCCTCCAAAGCTTAAGTTATCTTTTGGTGGAATGAGAGAGAGAGAGTTCAATGTTTGAAGTGCCTCCCTCTCCCGATTTAGGAGGATTAGCTTTTATACCTACAGGGATGAGTTGGTCGTACAAGATCAATTTACTATGGTCGGCTCCTCGGGAGGCGATCGACTTAAGCTTTTGTACGAGCGCCGATCGACCTACACGGATCGGCACCGCACGGCACTGCCCCGAGCTTTCCGGAATGGTTGTACCGTGATGATGTCGTTCATACGAAGAGGGCGGCAAGTGGCTGCCCATCACATGTGTGCTGCGCACCATATCATACTTGAGGTTCCACGTCTGCATCATCGTATCTGTTTGCCTGGGTCCACGTGGACGATGCAAAAAAAAAATGCCCTATCAATATTATTATCCAATCCCGTACTTTAAGCTAAACCCACTTAAGAATTCTCACCAATAGGATTTAAACGATAGATTAAGTCATCCTTAGATATCACATTCGATCCACTGGATAACTTTATTTAGGGCACTGTTCCTACAGTGTAGACCAGTTGCACACATAGGATTCAGGATAGGTGTAAGATCTGTCTAAATGCTCCATCCAATTGCAGGCGATCTTTTTGTTCATACTCGAGTTACAATCTGTGCCATTATATTCATTCAATAAACGCAGCCTTATTGAGACCATAGACTAATGGCTTCAAAAGAAGTTGCACCCACAATAATCATTCACAGCTACATAGATGTATGGCGGTCCGACAATTGATCAAACAACTGGTGTGTCGGCCATTTTGCCCATCCAAGCAGGTGGCAGCATCCCCGTCTGCTCGTGCACCGTCTTGAAAAGTGGTGGCAGCATTTTGTAGACTCCTGCCACCTCCTTCATCGCCCCGCCATCAGCTGCTGCATCGCCACTGTTGGTCCACACGCTAATCTTCGGCTGCAGGCCGCGGACGGCCTCGGCGTTGAGCCTCGCGATGTCTTGGTACATCCCGCCATTGATCATGAGGTAGTCCCGCAACGCAGCGTAGTCTCCACCCAGTGCCTCTAGTAATGCGGTGAGGTATAGCTTTTGAGCTTGGGCCAGTGCGACCATCCCCTCGGCTTCCTTCTTCTTGGCGTAGAGCTCTCCCTCGGCCTCTTGTTGGCGGGCGAAGCGCGCCGCCTCGGCTACCGCTTTCTGACCCTCCGCGAGCTTCTCTTGCTCGTAGAGCAAGCCTTCTGCCGCCCTCTGCCTCTTGTAGAGCTCCCAGTTTGCTTCTTGGACCTATCGTCACAACATGTTTGATGTCTTGCATGAATCATAAGGACACAGGTGCAGTCTAGTGATCATGGTGTTATGGTATGCATACCTTCATCTCATAGTCCACTAAAGTCTTGCTGAGCAACTCAGCCTTGAGCTTCTCTGTCTCCCTCAGCGCGTTCCTTCTCTCCACCTCCATCTGCAGCTCGGCATCCCTTATCGCCACCGCTTTGGCCGCCTCCACCTCCGCCACCTTCGCCTGCCGTTGCCACTCGGCCTTCTTCATCGCCAGCTCCGCGTTGGCCTCCGCCACCTCCGCTTCCCTCTTGTTCTCAAATATCTTCACCTCCGCCTTCACCTTTGCCTCTGCCTTCTTCCCTTCTCCATCCCTCTGCGTGGAGTATATCTTCGTCTCCGCGTCGATCTTGGCCGCGTTCTGCTTCGTATGTCCGTCCCTCTCTTTCGATCCGATCTCTCCCTTCATTCTCGCCTCCGCCACGTCAACCTTCGCCTGATTCGCTGCCTCCTGCTGCGTCTTCTGGCCGAGGTAGGAGAAGTACTCGTGGCCTTGGACGTCGACGAGCTGCTTCACGTTAGCGTTGTAGATGACGAGGCCGAACTGGTTGAGCTCAAGCTGAACCTTCTCGAACACCTCCTGCTTGAAGGACTTGGTCCCTCGAAAGATCTCCTCCATGGTCATGGACGCAGCGAGCACGCGCGTCTCCCCCTCAATCACCCCCTGCACGAGCTCCTTCACGTGGTTGGAGAGCTTGTCGTGAGGGGAGATAAGCTTGGCGTACCTGAGGAGGCTGTCCACATCATCCGCACGGGGGCCGATGGTGAACACAGCGGGGAGGATGAAGGGAAGCTTCTCGGCGCTCATCGCCTGCACCTCGAAGGTGTAGTTCACCGGGGACATGTCGAATTTGGTGCATCTCTGGCCCGGGAAGACGAAGGCCTTCTTTGCAAGTTTGATGTCACGAACGTTATAACCGGTGATGGCGAGGTACTCGGACGCCCCGGCCACCTTATAAAACACCATTTTGATCGGCGACCGCTCTTCCTTCAACGGACAGTGTACAAAGAGAAGCTACAGACCAGAGATCTTTTCGAGGGGAGAAGAGAGCAGGAGAATATATACAGCTTAGAGATCGCAAAGGGAATTGCCTGGTTGTTGCATGGAAATTGTCTGACACAGAAATCTCAGAGTACAGAATACACCAAATAAATGGCCAAAGTCGACGACGACTCGGGAAACTACGCTGTTCTTGCAGAAGAATTGCTGCCATCGAAGATCTGCGGACGCGGCAAGTGGGGTCCTTTGCCGGCGTTAACGGCTAAATCTACGAGTCTCGTGAGAGACTTTCGAACTGATGTTTTTTTTTATTCTTTTTTATTCGTTTAGAACATTGGAAATAAAAGATTCTATACGTGCGTCGGATGCGTTCGATGTGTTGGCACCGCAGTTGTCGTGCATGCAGGTGGTGGAGTTATTGGGAGAATTCTTAGCTATCATCATCGCCCAAGTTGTAAGACAAAATGACGGCTGGAAGCTGCGAAGAAAGCACGAATCATGATCGTTGACCACACCAAGTCGTAAGACAATGGTTGTATCAATATACAAAAATGACGGCTGGAACTTCTATCGAACTACGGATTTAACCACTCGATAATAGGAATAGGAATAGTATTTTTGATTGATTTGATCATACTGTCAGGGCCTCGAGTCGATTCGATCATACGGATTTATCAGATCTAATCACTCAATAATAGGAATAGTATTTTTGATTGATTTGATCATGTCATCGGGATAATGGCTTGAGTTCATTCGATCTTATTATTATCGGAATAACGCTTTCGGTTGATTTAATTATATTGTTATTGAAATAACATTTTAAATCGATTCGATTATGCTATTGTTGAAATAATGCGTTAGGTTGATTCGACCATGTTATTATTGAAATACTGCTATAGGTCAATTTGGATATGCTATGATTGGAATGGTACTTTAGATTGACTCGATTATGCTATTATTGAAATAACACTTTGGGTCATTTCGATAACACTAGCATCATGTATGCTTTTGGACTAATTTGGTAATATTACTATTCAGAGATGCTTCTAGGTAAATTTAACATGTGTTGCTATTAGGAGACTCTTTTGGGCTTCTAGACCAATTTAATTGCATTATCATTGATAGATGATTTATCACTAATTTAACCATGTTGTCACAGAGAAATGCTTCGTGTTCAAGTCATTGAGGGATACTTTATGGTCAAGTTCATGTTACGAAACTGCAGAGAGTATTACATGCATAGTGAAAAATAAAAACAAAAACTGGTTTCCCAAAACATATTTATCGAATCGTCATGCAAAGATCGGGAGCAAAAAACTCGAAAACAACAAAACCGGTAAGGGATGTGAGACATTCTCACCTAAGGGAAATTGTATATCCCCAAATCTATAGATCTCAATCCGTGGATGAAAGAGCTCTCGTAAACTCCTTTCTAGAGGTGATCCACATAGCGGATGCGACGATGATGCACCTCCTCTCGTAGCACATTCTTTCCTCGTGTTTGTGTACCATCACATCATAGCAACCAAGGAGGGATCGATCCCTCTTATTGTCCTCTTGTACTAGAGAAGGGGCAGTCGACTAAAGGAAGGAATAGAGAAGAGATGAAGGAGGTGGTGGCAATAGAGGTCTAGCCTATGATTCCTTTACACCCCAACTCTTATATATAGAGAGTCCTCCTTACTTACCCTAATGGATCCTACCTTAATAGGAATTGAATCTCCATCCAATTATTCTAACTTAATGGATATTGGATCCCCATCTAATAATCACTCTAAGCCCTGTTAGGCCTCACCCAATGGATCCAATAAAACAGGGGCTTATCGGATATCTCATATATAATCCTCTACTCATCGCATTGTCCACCATATATGTGTGACCCTTTAAGCTTAACACCAAGCTGATCGTGAGTTGCACATATTAGATCTCCTTCTGACTCTGTGAATTATTATTCACTCATCATCGACTATGGACATATCAGGCTACTACATCATAGTCCCCAAATGATATACGAGGATCTAATTCATTAAACTTGTCTTTCCTTAGTTACCATATATCTATAGCCTCTTATCCATCTAATATCCCAAAGATCATATTCCGGGCATGGTGTTATCAGGCCCATACGAAACCTTCATCATTGCAAGTTGAGTTTGGTCTCCCTTCCTTGATAACTCCATCAATCTCATCACCAGGATAAGATGCATGTGCCTCAAAGCTTCCTTCTATTTTAGCACCAAAGATGTTTAGTTGTCCCTTATTCAAATGAGGGAACTAAGGAATGACATTGTTGCATTTTTGCTTTTGCAAGTGTTGAGGTCCTTGATCTTAATCTTTCATGAAGTTGGTGCTTCCACTTGATACTCCTAAGCCCCATCCAACCTTTAGTCATTCACTAATTGTAACCTAAGTTACTTTACTCCTTAGTCTAGTTTGAGATAATGATAGCCCTCACGTCCATTATTTTTATGAGCTAGTCTCCTAGGAAACTCGATTGCCAACCTTAATAGCTAATAGTATGCCTTCATCTTTATGTTATTTTAGCAAATCCCCTACTTGATCTCACTCGATTATTTGAGCATTCATGACTTTGTCTCTATCTTTGGCCTCAACTATGATTGTTCCCCCCACCTAGATTCCTTAACGTGTTTCATGCGAGGTTTAAGTGATGACTTTTTGTCGCTACTCAATTACAATAATACAAGTTAGTTAAGCATTTGCATTCGTTTCCCTTTTAGCTTGCTATAGAACTGCGAGGTTTAGGAGTGCTACTTAGTAAGGGCTTTCCCATCATTATGTGTGTTTTGTTGCACAAGAAGCATCCATTTGAAATCCAAGATTGGAACTCTACCTCCTCCACATTTCCCATAGGGTTTAAGTATGTCAATTATTTTGTTGTTGTGATTACACGTGTTAGATCACGCATTCTTCTTCACCGATGTAGTCTCTCTACTGGCCTATCACGAATGCTAAAAAATTTTACACAATTTGAGTTGTATTTGAAGAATTTGGCCCTTATTGAAAATAATATCTTTTACTCCATTGTGCACCAAGCTTCTCTCTCTCTCGATCAGCGATAGCTCGAGTATTGAATTATTCAATTTGTCAATTATCATTATCTCTACCGGTGATTTTAAAAAGTGCTAGACGTCAAAAGAGCTAAGGTGAAAAAACACTTGAGGCGCTAGGTGCTCGTCCGAGCGAAACGAGACGTTAAAATATAAAAATATATAAATTAATTAATAAATATAACTATTTTAATAAAAATAATAATATTAAATTAAAAAATCTTATAGAATCATAATATCACATTAACAAAAAATCTCAGAATTCAAAACAATAACAATAATTTCAAATAAGTAAAAATTAACAGTATTATAATCAAAATAATATATTATTAATCCAATAATTTAAAAAAATTATTACTAATATACGGTTAACATTATACTGTTAACAATATACTATCGAGTCGATGTGAGTAAAGGGAGTAAGAGTAATAGTAGCGGCAATAGCAACGGGAGCGGGAGCGACGATAATGGCAAGCAGTGACAATAGCGATAGTGGTAGCGATAGCGGTAGCAGCGAGCAACGACAGTTGTGTGAGTAAGATTGATGCTGCTGACTGAGAGAAGCAGTAGCGATAGCAGGAGCAGGAGCGACGATAGTGACAATGGCAGCAACGACGGCGAGTAGTGATAGCAACGACAAGCAGCGACAGTGGTAGTGACAACAAAGACAGGCAACGATGGTAGAGAGAGGTAATGGTAGTAGAGAGGAAATGTCAGTGGGAGAATCGCAAGTAGGGTTAGGGTTGGGAAAGTCACAAGAGGGATGTTGGGAGGCTGATATCGGTGCTTTAGTTGGTTCAATCAAACCAACTGAAGCATCAGAGACCGAACCAAACATAAAACATTGGTTCGGTCGCCTTGTTTTACCCGGGTGCTCACCCGAAGCACCCGACGCTTGGGCTCAAGCGAGCGCTTGGACATGAAGCGAGGCACTCAGGCCTCGCCTCGCCTCGCCCGAGCACCTATTGAAATCGCTGGTCTCTACAAGTCTTTTTACAAACACTTTTAGTTGTTCACCACTCATCCTTAGCCAAATGTTCTAGCTTATGTTCGAGTATCATTAAGTTAGGTTGCCGATATCAAGCTATAGCTTAAATTCAACCATCTTAACCTTTGTATGCACACATGTTCTCCTTAGCTTGCTCATTCTTGTGATCCTCTCGCATAAGGGTTTAGTATATTTTTTTTTTAATATCGATTTTAGATATTCACTCGTATGAGTGATTCCATTCACTTCCTCACATATTTACACTTGTTTCTCCCTAGGGATCGTGTACATGAACTATCCTTTGTATAGCTCTACTAGGTCTCCTATGCGGTCTATAAAGTATTCACTTCCTCACATAAAAAAAATTACATATTTAATTAAATTAAAAATATTTAATTTTTTTATTTATAATTTTTTTAGAGTCTTTTTAGATATTCCTCTATCTCTCCTTATACCATTAATAGTAATCATAGCACCTCCTTATACCATTAATAATAATGATAGCATCTCTTAAAATTATCGTATATGTGGATTTCCTAAGCATACATTTGTCCTGAGTCATAATCAATGCCTTCTGAGGACTTCCAACATAAGTTGACAACTATAAAAATATCATCATAGTTATATTATATGGAGAAAATACTATTTATAAAATGCTTATATCAATTTTTTAGGATCCTCTCAAATAAATAAAAGTAAAAAAAATAAAAGCCTTCTCAACTATCTATAGCTCAAGTTCTACAGTGAAAACCTACATGCCCGAGCCTTTTGAACTGCTCAAACCTAGAATTAGCATCATGATAAACTCCAATTTCTCCTCCATCACCATGTGGTAGTGGTGACAATCGTTCCATCATAGCATTAAGAAGGACAAGGACAGGTAGGTGGATTCAGTAGTACCTTAAAGACTACCACATAGTCAATTAAGCATTCAGTAGTACCTTAAAGACTACCACATACTCCATTTCTTGGGCAACCCTTCAAGTACATGAAGTAGTAGAGTGATGATACCTACAACCAACTCTACAAATATGAGCATTATTTTTCATGATATATCTAATTGTCTCCATTACACCTACAATATGTCAACCAAAAATTTATACATGCATAGTTTAGTTAGATTTCTCTGAGTGTCTTACTAGTTATTGGTCCTAAACTTCATAACCAATATCTAAGAAGGCAAGAATGTTCCTCTTCTCCTATGTAGGAATGACATTATTAGAAGGTTGATTTGAAAAATAAAAAGTAAAACATATTTGCAAAACTTGAAACCTGCTAAACATAATAGTATAAATCATAAAACAAATATCAATCGAATCATACTAAATATTAATGTCATGGTCATCTCAAGTCATACAATGAGTGATTAATCAAGTAGCTAAGTAACTAATAAAAGAATGTACAGCCAGATAAAAAGAGAATTATTGATGACCCTAATAGATGGAGAGGATAACATCATATGTGAAACTTAGCTTATAGCTCAATTTAGCTGAAGTTAGGAAATTTTTCCTAGAATCAACGTGGATATATACAAAAAAAAGAAAAAAAATGGCTCAACAACATCAAGAGGCTTTCAAGATTATAAGATGAGAATTCTTTTGACCTAGCAACCAAGAAATTATGAAATTGTTATAATATTTTGGCATAAAAAAAATTCTGAAACTATGTTAATTCAATATTACTCAATCGAAATATTTACACAGCAAAAGGTATAGGAAAAATAAGTGTAATTCTTACGATTTGGTGCCACTAAAAGTAGACAACCCAGAAGAAGAGTCTCGATTAGCCTAAGAAAAATACCAGATATAATGGAGTAAAGATCAAATTTCTGTGAGAGAGAGAGAGAGAGAGAGGTGACCTCTCATTCGGTCACCCGAAATCTTGTTCAGAAACAACGATTGGTGAAATCGAGGAACGCCTGGAATGGGAATATGGTGACAGGAGAAAAACACTTGAATGCTCCAACGATTCCAACATCTTCATAAAGGTTAAGATAAAAGCATGCAGAGCAAAGGGTCAAAATAATCCCAGATGAAGACCTTGCTACTAAATGCTTCTTCTTGATAACACAAGACATCTTGATAACACAAGACATGAAAGAGATCAAGCCCCCTAACATTGTCTATATCAGTGCAAAGAAAAGGTCGCAGAGCTCCACGGCGGCAGCAGCTAAGCCTCAGTCAAGAGGTAGAATTGACAGTTAACAAACCAGAAAATGTGTCACTGTCGTCTGCCAAGCCAAGACAAAGGAAACTAGACATAGTGCTTAAATTGATAATGAGTCAATACTATCTTCTAATCCTGCTCGACTTTGAGATGGTGGAGCTTTGACTCCAATTCGCCTTCACCTTCTGCGGCAGCACCTCCTTCTCCTTCCTCCTCTTCTCCATCTTCGCCTTCCTCTTCCACATCATTCTCATCCAATGGTCCAAGTACATCCACAGAATTACTACCATTCGTAAGTATTTCCTTCACCTCATCAATGCCTTCGTCTGAAATTGCATTGCCATTTATGTTCAGAAGTTTGAAGTCAGGCTTATTTGACACTGCCTGCGCCAAACATCTAGCCCCGACCCTCCTTAACATGTTGATACTCACATCAAGTTCCTTGAGCTGTGTATGACCCTCTTCCAATGCTCTGCCGATCAGAACAGCACCCTGATCCTTCAGCTCATTCTCAGACAAGATCAGTGTCCTGAGTGACTTCTTGACAGCAATACACTCTGCTAATGCTGGAGCAGCTTTTGTTGTGATCTCGTTGCCAGCAATGTCCATAACTTCCAAAAAAGGTACAGATTGTTTCAGGGCATTAGCAATGGCAATGGCCCCCTCATCTTCCAAATTCAGATAGCTAATGTAGATTTCTGTGATGTGAACAAGTTTTTCAAGCGTCTTGCTCAGGGTTATCCCAGCATCAACACCAAATATATTATCACGGATATCTAGCTTCTTCAAATGAGTACAAGTCTCCAGTGCCTTGGCCAATTCAATTCCACCCTCAGAAGCCACCCTGGTCGATGAGCATCTGAAATCTTCCAGCAGAGGAGAATGTTTCAGGACCTCAGAAATAGCGATAGCACCCTCATCTCCTGTCATATTGTTATGGAAATGCAGGATCTTCAGCTTGTCAGTTGATGGAATTAGCTCGCACACAGCTTTGGCAGCTGCCTCAGATATTCCATCATTCATCAAGGAAAGCTCCTCCAAGCTATTTTGTGATTTCAGAAGTGCCCCAAATGCCCGAACACCCTTCTCACCTAATGCATTGTCAGACAGATTCAGATACCTGAGAACACACCCTTCCAAGGCTGATGAGAATATCTTCATGACTTCAAGAGCTTCATCCTCTGGCCTTCCTGCAATAAAATCTGATAGATTTACTTCCGTCAGCTGTCCCTTGAGAGATGCCAATATAGGTCCTGCAACATGGGCTGCATCAATTCCGAAGCTTATGTTGCTCAAACAAATCTTTTTGTATGAGTTTCCTTGCTCAGTTAGTGGGCTAAGAAGTTCTCTGGCTTCATCAGCATCAATAAATGCCCTTCTACCACCTGAAATATCAAACACAGTTTCAATAGGTTTAACAGGCCTATCAACTGCCACCACTTCTCCATGCTCTTTGCGTTCAGGGCCTCTTTTAAGTACTTCCAACATTAGCTTGCTGGTCTCCCTGGCATAGAACTGGACTGCAGAACTTCCATCACCATCAGGCTCCTTTTGAAAATGTTCACTGGCAGCGATAAAGCACTCATCCTCAATCCGTTTAGCATTCTCATAAGCCTCTTCTTTGCTCAGAAGGCCATACTTCCTGGAGAAAATCGATTCTGAGGAGAGATTCTTGGTCATCTTTTCCACAAGCATCGTTCTTGTGCTTGCACTTGGTGGCCATAGTTTAATTGAGAACGTACGAGGATGAAAATCTTGAGTAGCAGCAGCATCCATGTCCAAATTCTAACTTCAGCTTTGCAAAATATCACAAAAGTGGTAACGCGGTCACAACGTGTACACCTATACGAAAAACATATTCAGCAGGTAGGACGAAGATAGAAGGAAATCATATGAAGCGAATCAAGCAAAGAAAACAAACATGTGACAATGCAGATAAGAGACACTAAGGAGTGCAAGGGTCACCAATTGAGACCAAACACTGAAAAATAATAATAAAGGGAACTTAGTAACATATGGATGAAAATACATAGAGGCAGCAATTCAAAAGAGGGCAAAATACTGATCAGTTTTGATCCATTTTGACCATTATGCTTGCTGGGACAAAATCATAGCATCGCCTGCCCTTTCTTTTTTACTATATTTTAACACAGTTTATCTTGTCTTACTACAATGCTCAAGTGTGTTTGACAATGAAATAAGCTGGAGGAACATTACTTTAGAAGAACAAGACAATGTGGACTTAAACTTAATTTCAAAACCACCCGTAAGAAACTTCTACTTTCAAGAAGATAATTGTAAGTCACTTCTTAAGAAGAGATTAAAGCAAACTTTGTTGTCAACAGTGCATGTTAAAATGTTGGTTGAGCCAAATGAGAATAATCATTATTCACAAAGTAACAAATGAAAATAAGTTTATTGAGCCACGATCCACCAATTCAAATAACCAAGTCATGTACAATCTTCATTGCCACAAATACAAGTTGTTGGTCGAGCTGAACAAGAGCCATCACAATAACCAACCGGCCAAATCAAATGTAATGAGCCTATCAAGAGGCACGACATTCATCAGTCCAAGCATATAGCCTTCTTTGTTTCTCTTTCTCCTATGTTGATCGATTCAGCTCCCTCTGAGGGATACTAACAACTAGGCATATCTGAACCATCTTAAACTCTTAATTCCTCTTACCTTCAATTTACCACAAGTGAGACCCAATATAAATGAATAAATCATGAAAAGCTCAGTAAGAGAAACAAAGTTTCTTGCCAAAACTGGTTCACATATTGTTGGACAATTTCAACTAAACATAATAGTCAGTTAGCAAAAATATACCTCATTTATTCTTGGTTTGAACATCATAATAGTGTAACACATCAAAAGATTCCGCAAAATTTGTGAACTCAAAGGATGTAAGTGATTTTTCAGTAAGAAAATAAGATGGCAACTCATGAATCTCAATAAAAAAGACAGTGAAGAAAAAGCCTTTATTTGACAGTACCCATGCTATCTGACAAAAAGGATCACAAGTTAAAGAAACAGCCTTTGGATAGACAAGTGAAGCATAGTAGCCGTTCCCACAAGCTTTTGTAAGCCGCAACGCAAAAAGAATGGATATTTCCAATGATTTCAAAATAACCATCGATTCAAACTTCACAGTCAATCCATTTGAGCAAATAAAAGCAGGTCAAGAAAATGCCATCTGATTCCAACGATAATAACTATACAAAGGATTTCCAGAGTTCCTAATGGTATTAATCGAGGACAAGAATACACAATGCAGACCTTAACACAAAAATCTACAGAAATCTACGGACGCTTAGTAACGAACAACAACGTCGAGTGAAGACGCCCTGACAAGAAAAGATCCACAGAAAAGAAAGGGAGAGAGAGAGAGAGAGAGAGAGAGAGAGAGGCATACCAAAGATCCGACGCAGCGCCGCCGAAAAGAGTGAAATGATGTCGCCCTCTCGGTCACTACTCCGTGGAAGGAAAATGAAACCCTAACCCTTCCCCCTTTAATGAAGGCCAGGTGATCGTCGAACCGAAAGAGCCGACCCGGTCTGAATCCCGCAAAGAGGCTGACAAGGAATACAAAATTGAATCACCGAACCGGTCACATTAGGCATTTGAATCGCGAATAAATTATTGAACCGCAGAGATCACGCCGGTTCGGTCCAGAGGTACACCAAATGCCCGTGTCATCATTTCGAGATGGTTTTGAATTCTGCTGACCCACGTTGTCTCGCCGGAGGAGTACGGATTCAGTTTAGACGCGCAACACACAACACCAAATTCAAACAATCAAACTATGGCCGCCTGGAAACGTGAGCGAGGATTAGTGGAGTTGGGTGTCCTGAACTCGAACCATTTCACTAAATCCTTCGCCATTCTTAAAAGATGGCATCGTGGTGACATAAGTAGATCCATCGTGGGTGAGAAGGCCATACGACTTCATGGCATGATGAAATGCTTTAATGGCTAGCAATACAGAATATTTCCACCAGCAAACCTCACACTGTCGTAATGAATGTGCACGTATATAATAACACTACTAATCTCTCGTCTATGCTCTTGGTTTATTGGAACCTCTTTAAGCAATGAAGTCTAAGTCAGCACCTTCGGCTGCAGGGCAAATGTGGAGTTGGGGAATTGAGGGTCTTCAACAATTCAGGCACCAATCATAGTTTTGGTAGAGTATGTTGATAGGACCCCCATCGTTGAGAAGATGAGTCAAAAGGCCAGCTCTATTAACATCCATGTAGTTCAGTATCCAGTGAAGGATATCTTTCTCCTGTCCAAAATCAGCGCTATACCTGTCCAATAAAATTTGAGTTGAGTAAACGCAATGTCTTCTGAACATCAAAATACTAGACGTTTGCATATAAACCAGACAGAACACTCATAGTAGATTGAGCATAAAGTTCCAGTGGACTTGGTGTTGTATTGTTAAGAGGGTTCAGGAAGTTTATGGGTTTCTCTAAGCTGACCAATCTGCCAGAGATAAGCACCACTAAAGCTAAGAAACATAACAAAGCTGGAGAACTTTGGACCTAATGGCCTGGCTAGTTCATAGATGATAGGCAACTGTGATTTTTGGCTAGACATTAAACTAATTGTGTTTGAGCACCAGATGTTGAATGAATATTAATATAATAGATGAAACAAACTGACCATTTCATGAACTTGGTGAGATAGACAACCCTCTTCTCAAGATCCACCTCCACTCCACCAAGGAAAAACTCCCTTGCTGCATGCCTGAGTTCTACTTCAACTCCCTGGGCAGAGAAGAACCGCAATGTTGGACTCGAACGGGTTCCATCGCATAGGCCAAAATGGATCAAAGGGTTCACCTTTGCAAGAGCCAACTAAAATATTGCAACAAGAGTGAACTCCAGCATGGATTCATCAGTAAACAAAATAGTGAGGAGGGAACGGAAGCGTGTACCTCCAATCGCTTGTCACGAGCACTGAATGGCTTCCCTAAAGAGTAAGGCTGCCTTCTATTGGAACGTAGAATGCCGTTCTTGATGGAGGAAAGCGAATAAGGATAGCCTCCAACGACATACTGGAAGTCGCAGTAGAAAACCTTTCGGTCGATTTCCCCTGGTCGGCCGATCCTTATGACGGCATGAATGACCATTGCATTATACAAGTTCAGGAAGAAGGCCAACTTCTCATCAGCTGACAGGCTAAAAATGTCGACCCGTTGCAGATCTTTGACCAGGTTAACATATCTGCTAAATTTACCAAAGCCAAAGGAAAAAGATCAGTTACAACTGTGGCCAAATTCATGCAACTTTTATACTAAACTAAGTTAGGCAGGTATAACCAGATCACCTGTAAATTCACAATCAAGCTTATACTGTAGAGGTAATTAATCGGGAACATACGAGTGAAACAACCATGAATTAGATTACAAATGACATGATCCGAGGTGAAAAAAAATTATCCCATGGTCAGTCTCAACTTAAGACCAAGTCAATTGTAGGCAACTCTGTGAACTTAAAAGTGAGATGAGGCAAGGGACTTATCACCCAAAATGTATGCATTCACCCGAATCGACAAAACAAACAAAGCCTTCCTTCTAATGGCATCAAAAGCATTGACCAACTATCTTCTATAACATACAATGTGTCAGCACTTCATATTATCATTGTTTCTACCATCTGTCCAGCAAAGGCTCCCTCACCATATGTCCAAACTATTGATCAACACATGGCAACCTAAACTGGCCAAACTGCTTGATGGTAGTTCCAACTAACGATAATTTCAATTAACGGAACAAATAAGCATAACAATCCGAGGTCAATGGGTTTTTTAACCGTTTCTTGTCTCAAGCATCAACTATAAAAGGGATTGTACAGGTACGCTCAATACATAAAAATAATAATAAATAAAGTCCAACTTGTCTAACTTAAATAATGACTTGAGCGTCGGAGGGATATTTTCGGGATTACCCCCGACTTAGTTTTATAGGGATTTGACCACCAACTTGACGAATTTTTCAATAATCGTCTCGAGAAGGAATGAAGTTGGATCTCAGTTGGCCTTTGAACAACATAAAATCAACTTTAACAGTTTGGTACTAGGAGAAGGGTCGAACACTATGTCTTAGGGAAATCTCATAGGACCACCTCAAGCAAACCCCAACGACTCGAATCTCCAATGTGTTGAACTTTCCCAGTGATATTAACAAAGGTAGTATGCGAGTGGGTTGCCAAGATTCCCTCATATGTCAATCTCATCCTTCAGACAATTAGCCAAGGAATTCAAGCTCAGTTTCATTAACTATAGGCTCGTAAAGAAGCCCACAACTTCTCTCCTAGTTATGCGTCACGAACAAAAAAAGAGCCTAGAAAGTTAAACAAGGAGGTTCGTCGACAAAGTTTGACAAATCACAGATCCAACCCCCTATGTTCTCATCAATGCATATATTGGTGGTCTCCAACCTTTAAGGGTTTTTCAACAAAGTCATCAGTCAACCCCTAGTGACATTTCTAGAATTGTAAAAAGAGGCCAACTACTATATCATCGTCGAATTATTGATTGTTGGCAAAAAGAATGGCAAGGCTTGCATTAACGAGCTATTGCTTGCTTATCTGTAAGATGGTGATGGACTCATACAGGGTCCACCCTTTTTCTATCCTATGCAATCTTGGGGCGATATTAGAAAACATTTGATTGGACCAATCTAAGTTGATCAACCAACTTTTCTCACAAGAATAAAAAAATATCTCCTCTTCCAACTTTTGTAGGAGGTGGGAGCACCCTTGACATGATAGCTAGGTTAAGTAGGGAGGTAATATATTGACCCCCCTAAAGCACAGACTATAGCAAGTAAATAGGAGGGTCAACATTGGGAAAATCCAGACCCTCACACATTCCTTGACAAACATCATAAGAAAGTGTTAGGAAATCGACGCCATCTGGGCAAGTGAGAACTTCCAATAATTGAAACCTCAACAAAGAATGAGTGGGGGGAGGGGGGAAACGAAGCCCCGTCTCTAATGCACTTGCGCTTAAGCAAAACATGTGACATGACACGTATGGTTGATCACTTGGCTGAGTAGGCACAAGCTCCAACTTAATTGATATCTGATAAACCTTCTAGAGCATATCCAAATCAAATATTGACACTACCGAATCCAAGTCAAAGGACTCCATCGTAGGTGGCAAAGCCACACTGCATGATGGATTTGCCTCCATGGGGAGGGGGCAGCCTCCATCGGCATGGTTGACTTAGCTCCTTCCGAAACTAAAACTTCTACTACCTATATCAAGGGTGGTGATGAGGTTGGCAACCTATCCAAGTCCAAGGTATTAGAGGATGAGGTTGATGATAAAATTGCAGACCTTTAGAAGTTGAGGTTGTTGTGAAGCACTTAAGGTGTTGTTTACAGAAGTTCTAGTTGCAAGATGAGATAGGGAATGTCTGGGGCAATAAAAGACACTATTTATAGAGGTCAAAGATGATGCTTCATCTGACCAGCCATCCGTTCGACTCTCGAATGCCTCGAGAAGAGTGGGACATACAGCATCATCTAGCGTGACCCAAGACATGCAGGGCAATCCTAATAGCTCAACGGTTATTCGGATCATTAGAGAAATCATGTCGAATCTATCGTGATCTATGCAAAGGCAACACAATAAGAAACCACTGTCATATTTTCCTATGATTGCGAGTGGGCTCAGCATACGATCAACTATCAGACCTTTCTTGATCTGTTCGGATTCTCCCGCTTGCTAAAGGAAGGAGCATGTGTGGCATGTGCCCTTATTGGCCCTTTGTGCATCACCATGCCTTGCCTCTCCGGCCCTCGATGCCGCCACACGTAGCCCTATCGACCCTTTGTGCATCACTGTGCCTAGCCTCTTTGGCCCCCGACACCACCACACACGTCCCTATCAACCCTTTGTGCATCGTCGTGCTTGGCCTCTTTGAGCCCTAGCATCGCCACACGTGGCCCTTTTGGCCTTTTATGTATCATCGCACTTGGTCTCTCCAAACCCGAGCACCACCACACACAACCTTATTAGCCCTCTATGCATCACTTCACTTGGCCTCTTCGATCGTCGATGCTACTGCACATGACCCTATCGACCCTTTGTGCATCACCATCGTACCTAACCTCTCTAGTCCCTAGTACTATCACATGTAGCCCTATTAGCTCTATGTGCATCTCACGCTTAGCCACTTCGGTCCTCGACGCCACTGCACGCAACTCTATCAACCCTCTGTGCATCACCATGCCTAGCCTCTTCGACGCCCGACGCCACTACACGACTCTATTAGCCCTCTATGCATCACCATGCCTAGCCTCTCCAATCCCTAGGGTCGTTACACGTGACCCTATCGACCCTTTGTGAATCACTGTGCCTAGCCTATCTAACCCATGGCACCACCACACGTAGCCCTATCGATCCTCTGTGCCTCACTATGCTTAGCCTCTCCAGCTCATATTGTCACCACACGTGGCCTATCGGCCTCTATGCACTGCCATGCCCTATT